CAGAGCAGGAGCGCTGCCCCGCCCGCCTACATCCCAGGCTATGCTCTTCTGCTATGCGTTGCTGTCCCCCAGAGCCCCAAATTCTAGGACAAAGGACTTGCGCAGACGGTTGGAAGGCACCCAGGAGGAAGGTGGTGGCCCTAAGGGCAGGTGCAAAGAGTCCAAACGCTCAGCCCATCGCTCTCCCTCCAGGGCTCTTGCGAGGCAGAGCTTGGAAAGGTTGTGGGCGCCCCCTGCATCATGAACTCACCACTGCATTTAATAAAAGCTCCATTCCCGGTGTGAATCACGTGGAAACGTGTGGCCAGGGGGAGGCAGGTAAAATGAGTCACAGTTCATAAACACATATTTATAGATGAATAAAGGCCGGGGGAGGCAGGTAGGCGGCCCATTGTGTGGTAAACAAGTATGAAACTAGAGTGTGGACAACAGCCATGGTCCCTGGCCTTGTCCCGGTCCCACTCACACATCTGTTGGTTCACCCACAAGCACTCACTGAGCGGGGCTTGTCACAGAGGAGCATCACTGACAGGCAGCCTCCATCCCTTGAAGTCTGCCTCTGCTGCACAGCACTGCCCTTGTCCACGGTCGCATCGGCTCAGATCCAGCTACTGCCTGAGGCAGGAGGAAGGACCATTCTACCTCCAGATCCCCTCTGGGACCAGCTCAGGCCATGGCTGGATGTGGTCCCACTTCCTGCCCCATCCCACTTCCTTAACAAGCATCCTGCATACTTTTGAGCCGTCCGTTCTATTGGAAAACCAGTTGGCAAAATGAGGAGTCTCATCCTTTGTTCACTTCCTAAAGAGCACAACGCCAACCAACGACAAAAGTGGTACATCTGGTTTACTGGAAGGAAGGCTTGTCTTTCAACAGTGATACAACCGACCTTGAAAAGGAGGGAACATCCTAAGCCGGAGGAAGCACTGCTATTGTTGGGGTGGTGTGTGTCAACTGAACAGGGTGACTTCCACTGAAATTTGTATCCGCTCCTCCATCTATTAGCTGACATGCACTAAACAACACTGCCATTTTGAAATTATGATTAGAAACTGTTAAAGGGGAACATCATGGATTCATTTCAGGGAATAATTCTGAAGACAAGTGGGGGGAAACCCCAATTCCTGATGAACTCCCCCAAATAAATGGAGGTTGTCTAGAACCTAGTGACCAGAAACTACCCATGTCCCCTGAGAACTTTTCTTTGTCTTTTGGTCCTAGAACCTGAATGCTGGCTGGCAGAGGACAGCATCTCCCAGCATCCTTTGCAGCTAGGGTGTCCATGTACCTGCGTTAGGGTCAGGGCCTCTGAGTGGCAGTGGTGTGGGCAACTTCTCAGTTAAACCCTTACAGGGAGCCACTTGGTTTTCATTTTCCCTTCCTCTATCAGAAGGCTTGCCAGTGGCAAGGCAGCGGCACCCTTGGGAAGCAGGAGCAATGGCACTGGAAGTTGTTGGACTTCTGAGCCACCCTTGGCTATTACCCTGTGGACAGTCTCCCGACTCTGACCTTCACAGGGGAGAGAAATAAATCACTTATTTTGTTTAAGCCATTATTACTTTGGTCTCAGGTAAAGCAGACGAGCCAATGTCATACCACACAGCGATATCAAATCAGCAACAAAAACCTATGTGACGTTTCTTGTTTGTCTGAGAGCACAGTCTCTTCCTATCAGGAGGCTGCAACAGGATAAGAACAGGAAGTTACATCCTTTACCTGGAGCCAACTCCTGCATCTGTCCTTTTTCTGTGGTGTAGCCTTGTTCTGGACCATGTTATATTTTATTTTTATATAAAAATTGCCAACCAAAGGGAGGTCTGGATTGAAATTATATTTATTTGTCTAACTCTACACTATGAGTTTTGCCAGCAATCAAGCCCTGGTTTTCCATGTTGTTGAAGCTTTTTCTTAGGGAGTAGTCATTTTCAGCTATGTTTATATTGTATATGTGCATCGATACAAATGATTAATTAGTTAATTAATTTTATTTTACTCATTTGCCAAGTAATTTGGTCACCTATCGAGTACAGAGAGATTATTTAAATAAAATGAAACCAATTCAAGGTAAATGAGTTACAATTCATAGATACATATTTATAGATGAATGAAAAGAATAAGTGAAGCACAACTTCATCTTAAAAATTTTCAAAAGAAATAGAAATTAGAAATCCAGCCCAAGACATTGCTATAAATCATAGCAATTTCCTCTCTTTCTTCAAATGTAATGATTGATGCTTTTGTACCGTGACAGCCATACCCTTAGAGAAATATTTTGATACATGCTAAACTTGCGTAGCACTATTTCTTTTCACCTATTTGAAGGAAGTACAGACGTCTAAGAGTCTGGCTGGAGACACCTAAAGTTACAGATCACTTGTCACTTTAATCACGTTTCAGTTGGATTTCAGAAGGTTATTTCCACTTGCCTGGTTGTGGAGACACTGTGCTGCATGTCGATTAGGGAACCTATGAAGGGTGGTTGAAGAGTACAGCAAGTGTTCGAAAAATTCGTGACAGTAAAAGACACAGTGCCATTAGTCCCCCTAAAAATACTTCCCCTTGCTTCAAGTATACTTATTCCATCACTCTTGCCACTTTCTGAAGCAGTTCTGGAAGTTTTCTTTCCTGAGTGTCTTTATGAGGTGTGATCAAAAATGCAGTGAATGTTACTGCCCAGCACCATGGAGCAGAAAGGCAGCTCATAACGTCGTGACGCTCTGTCCTCATCCACCTTATTCACCAGATCTGGCACTGTGTGGCTTCCGGCTCTTCCCCAAAGTCAGAACGACCAGGAGAGGGAAACGTTTTGAGTCAGTTCAGGACATCAAGGCAGCCAGGACAAGGAAACTAAGACACTCAGGAAAGAGGATTCTAGAGCTGCTGCAGGAAGTAGCCAGGGCAATGGGACGAGTGCGTGCAAAGCAAGGGGGAGGATTTTGAGGGGGATTCGTGGCAGTATGTCTTTAACCGAAATAAAAATTAAAGAAATTTAAACACACACTATATTTTGGATCACACTCTGGATGTCTAGATGGTTATCTAGAAGGGGACAATCATTCTACAGCTAAGAATATCTTTACACATCGAGAAACGTGCTCTCTCATTCTTAAAGTGTGAACAGTTCACTTTTCTATACTTAACATCAAAAAGTGCATGTACTTGAGAATCAGTAAAGGTGGAAATGGGTTCTCATATTGGAGGGAAAATTGGAGGTGTGGCGGGAAGGAGGAATAGTGAGTCTCCTGACTTGGGAAGTTGCTGGTCCTAATATTTTTTCACCAGAGTCTTAAGCACATCATGTCAAAATCCTACCTTAGCAGGCAATGTTGAGAAGAACTCAAAGTCAACAAACACTCTTCCCTGCACCCTCAGCAGCATGCCAGGTTGGAAAACTAGCGATGACTCAGGCACATGCGTTTTTTGATACCGGATTTCTCCTTCCCTAGATTCAACTAGTTTGTGTTTTGGAGGTGGTCCCAGTAAATCTGACTTCGTGGACATTCGTTCACTTAATCTCGAGGACACGCCTTTCATGTACCCTAAGCTTCAGAGTGCCTGTTAAGTTTATTAGGCCCTACAGAGAAGTACATGCAAGTGTTTTCTGGCACTTAATAAATTTTCTCAAAAAAATTATTCTGTCAGTGCAAATTGATTTGAAAGGTGTCAGCTGAAAAGTGAAAACGTATGAATTTAAAATGCCTCATTACTAGAAATCAACGGCCAATATATCAATATAAGATCTATACGTTGTACTAAAGGAGTGCAAGAAAACTAATCTATGTCATCGTTTTCAGGAATCTATGTTTGTGCAGCAGGTGAGTACATGACTAAAAATAACCTAGACTGCCATTTGCTATGGTCAGTTACGATTAGCAATCATTTTAATTGTCACCAACAGTGGTGAGGATGGCCATTATCAGCACCAAGGTCTAAGGACGGCATCATTATAGACTTCCTTCCTTCCAGGCAGGCAAAAGTTTATTCTCAAAGGATGAACAATTACAACTCCTTCAGAAAGGTTAATTGAAATATTTCTGGAAGTACCTCGAAAATGGCCCTAGAATTATTAATTTTTTGTTTGTTTTTGGTTTTTCTCTGGTACTGGGAACCAAACTCACGACCTTGCGCTTGCCAGGCAGGCGCTTTGCCACTGAACTAAATCCCCAGCCCCCAGCCCTGGAATTATTAACTCGTCTGTTCAGGTACAGGCTGCTGGGAGACCCCATCTCCCTAAGAAAGATGCTGGCTGCTCACTTGAAAGCGTTCAGCTGCGCTGTACAGCTATTTTAGAAAACAATGGTGGCGTTTACCAAACACCACACAAGAAGCACTGTAAAACCTGAGACTCAGCATTCAGCAACTAAGGAAGTTTGGGAGATGGGAATTGAGGAAAGGACGCGTAGATTGCAAGAAAATACTGACTTGAATAATATAAATAGGTCGATAACTGCATTTAAGGTACTTTAAAGATGAGTGTTTAAGACACTTTGATAATAAAATATACAGAACGAGAGTTTTACTATCAAGCTAAACTGACTTTTTATTATTTCCTTTTGGAACAGAGCAAGGGGGAAATCTTTTTAAAAGCATTTTCTTACTTTTCCTTTCATGTATTTTCCTGAGGAAAAAGGAAGCTAAGTTTTTAAAACTCACTGTCGTGAACATCATGTTCTTTTTCATCATTAAGTCAGTTTCAGAAGTGGGTCTGGGTTATCTTTTTGTTACTTTTTTCTTTCTCTTTTAATAATGCTTGCAGGAATAGAAAAGAGAACGTGTTTCTGTGCACATTTAGCACTTTGAAAAGCACCGGGAGTGTAGCATTAAGTGAGTTAACCTTCTTAAGCCAGAAGGAGCTATCTGAGTGTGACGGAATTCAGGAAGTGGTGACCGTGTGCCGCGGCCTTCCACGCGAGGAGGCTCTGACGAGCGCAGTCAGTGCGTGCAGGCAGGACCCGCTCCCACCCCGTGTCACCCAGGCTTAGCATGAGAATGCCACTCACCACGGGGGACGGGGACAGCGCGATGTTCCCTATGGATGCCTTCAGCTCATCCACGGTGGCCGCGTTCTTAAGTATGTCTTTAGATTGCAATGGCTTGATCTTGATATTGAACTTCCTGTGTGACTCTTCTTCCTCTTCTGATTCGCTTGAGGAGTAAAAGTGCTTTCCTTTGGTTGGTAGAACACAGTTAAAGACACTTAGCTCTTTCTTCTACTGGGAGGAGCTGATCAAGCTAAGACACGGACAGGGCAAAAGGGTCCTTTGAGGGCGGAGAACCAAAGCCAAACACATAAAAACAAACAAGCAAAGGCTAGGATTTCTTTTTTTTTTTTTTTTTTTTTTTTTGGTTGGAACCCAACTCACGACCTTGCGCTTGCCACGTTGCGCATGCCAGGCAGGCGCTATTTCTTGCCTCTTCCCAACCTCATTTCCCTTAGAGAGTTAGGAAATTGCTGTGTACCTTTCCAGACCTTTTGCTGTGCATTTACTTGTAAAG